AATATTTGTATTGTATAATTATAAGTGTATAGGACGAAGATATATGTATTTGCATGTGTATATACAATTTTCTCTCGCTTTATACAAACACAAACGCACTTTATACACTTGCGTTTGTATAAAAAACGAGAGAGGCGAGGGAGAGAACGAGAGTGGCGAGCGAGATTCACCAGGAGAGAGGTGAAATAGCAATAGTTTGCTATGAGGTACAATTAAATCAAACTATATTTATAGCATTTAATTTGAATTAATAGTTTGCTATTATATACAATTTTCCCTAAAATTTATACTATAAATATAAATGATGATGACTTTTTTATTTCAATATTTTACCTGATTTGTTTTCTATTATAAGATATTATAAGACATTATTTTAAAATCACATAACACAAAAGTTTTTCCTATTTTCTTAAATTACACCCCTATTCACACTAAAATATTCAAATTGAAATGAATTAGTGGTAATTATATCATATAATAAAGAAAGTACTCTTGATGCACCGTGTATATATCATTCAGTAAATTGGAGGAACACAAATGTATACGGAACAATTTTATTTAAGAAATTCATCACAAACAGATATCTTATCTATTATATATATTCCATTGAACAGGGTTAAAAAACCACATGTTAATTATCCACAGGGCTCTGATGTGATTCCGCTTCTGAAGAAATTGAGGTTTTCTGATTCATATTGTAGGGCATTTGAGCAGGTCTGTAATTTAGTTTCACGTAGTATTGCAATATTCTCAATCACTTCAGTCATGGCCTAACCAGCCTTTTGTGTCTGGTCCTTTGGGGCTTTTGCTGTAGATTTGTGAATCCTCCTAATCATTATCCCATGCTCCAGGCTTGTGTGCCTTCTATTCAGGCTTCTATTCCTCAACAAGGGATGATGTCAATGCCAATGTTCACTCCAGGACAGCATCAACAGTTACTGAGAATGTTAGAGCAGACTTCTATTGATGAGACTACTGGCAGTGCTAATATGGCAAGTACATCTTTTTTGTCTATTTTGAAATGGATAATAGACACAGGTGCTTCCCATCATATGATAGGTGACCCTAGATATTTACAACACAAAGACTTGATAGAAAATGCAGGGTAAGTTCAATTGCCAACAGGGGATTCTGCAATGTATCACAAATTGGAGACTGTCACATAGGAGGAGATGATGTTCTTAGGAGAGTCTTATGTGTACCTGCATTCAAGTTTAACCTTATGTCAGTTTATCAAGTAACTAAGAACTTGAACTGCAGTGTTACCTTGTTTCCTAAATACTGTGTTTTTCAGGATCTCTCATCTGTGAAGGTGAGGGTGATTGGTGAAGAAGAAGATGGTCTGTACACACTGAGTTCTCAGAGCAATAATGTGAAAGTAACACCACAGAGATGTTTGGCTGCAACTCAAGATGCAGATGCCAATGTCTGGCATCAAAGGTTCTGTCATGTGCCTATGGTTGTAATAAGGAAAATTCCTTCATTCCAAAAACTTGGTTGTACTTTTGCATTACATAATTGTGAGATATGTCCCTTGGCTAGACAAACAAGGGTGTCATTTCCACATAGTATTGGTAGATCTACTTGTAACTTCCAGTTAATTCACATGGATGTTTGGGGTCCCTATAGAATTGAAACTTTTGATGGAATGAGATATTTTTTGACAATTGTTGATGATTTTTCAAGGTGGACATGAATATTTTTGATGAGGCTTAAATCTGATGTTAGTAGCTTGTTGAAATATTTTTTTACTAAAGTAAAGACTTAGTTTGGTAAGAAGATAGAGAGTAAGATCTGATAATGGTTCTGAATTCTTCAATTCTACCTGCAATGAATTTTTTAAATCACATGGTGTTATACATGAGAGCTCATGTCCACATACACCTCAACAAAATGGTGTTGTGAAAAGAAAACATAGGCACATTCTTGAAACAGCCAGGGCAATCAAGTTTCAAGCTGGTTTTCCAGATAAGTTTTCGGGGTGTTGTATTTAAGTTGTTATGTATATACTGAATAGAGTCCATTCTATTGTCTTAGGACATGTGTCTCCTTTTGAGAAAATGTACAACACACCTCCTTCTTTTGATCATGTGAGAGTCATAGGTTGTTTGTGCTTTGTTACCAGCCTCACAAAGTAAGATAAATTCAGTCCTAGAGCAATAAAAGTTGTACTAGTAGGCTATGGGGTCAACTCAGAAGGGATATAACCTTTATAATTTGCAGAGCAAGACCTTCTTTGTAAGTAGGGATGTGGTATTCTTGGAGTCTCATTTTCCTTTTAAAAGATATTACAACCGACCAAAGTCACACTTTTACCCAGACCAATTTGTTTTTTATGATGTTATTACTCTTCCAACTCACAGTCTATCATCTACTGATTCAGTTCCTACTCAGGTGATGAACACTCTTTCCCTAGGATCACCAGTCATATCCTCTCATGATACTTCCTCAGCTCCATCTAACGTCATTGATGCACCACAACCAAGAACGTCCACTAGAGGTTTTAAGCCTCTTATTTGGCACAAAGATTATGTCACAAAAGCTGGTTTAAGTAGTAGCCTTTACTCCATAGCTTCAGTATTAGATTACACAGGATTGTCATGCCAATATCAGAGTTTCGTTTCAAATGTTTCAATTGATACTGAACCTACAAGTTATTCTAAAGCTACAAAAGATAGTAGATGGATAGAGGCAATGCAGAGTGAAATAAAGGCACTAAAAGACAACAAAACTTAGGAACTGGTGTATTTTCCTAGAGGAAAGAAAGCTATTGGATGTAGGTGGGTTTACAAGATCAAATACAATGCAGATGGAGGTGTGAAAAGGTTCAAAGCCAGGCTGGTAGCTAAAGGATATAATCAAAAGGAGGGCTTTGATTATCAAGAAACCTTCTCTCCCGTGGTTAAAATGGCAACTATTAGATATGTTATCTCCATTGCAGCTGCAAATAAATTGAGAATTCAACAAATGGATGTGTATAATGCCTTTTTACAAGGTGATTTATATGAGGAAGTGTATATGACTCTGCCTGAAGGTTTTGGTAGGAAGACAACCAACACTCAGGCTTGTAGATTGTTGAAATCTCTTTATGGTTTGAAGCAAGCCTCAAGGCAGTGGAACATTAAGTTGATTACCACATTGACAACATCAGGTCTCATTCAAAGCACAAGAGACTACTCTTTGTTCACTAAGAGAAATGGGGACAGAATTATGATAGTACTCATTTATGTGGATGACTTATTATTGACACTGCAGCATGCTTTCATGATAAAGGATCTCGGGGAACTTAGATATTTTCTTGTTTGGAATTTGCCAGAAATGAGGATGGTATACTCATGTATCAGAGAAAATACACTCTGGAATTAATAGCAGATATGGGGCTAGCAGGAGCTAAGCCAGTCACAACTCCAATAGAATTGAATCAAAAACTCACTTCTGTAGAGTTCGATGCCACCATACCTCTTGCCCACACAGATCCATCATTGGAAGATCCTACTAGTTATCAAAGGCTGATTGGGAGGCTGTTATACCTCACTACTACCAGGCCTGATATATCATTTATTGTGCAGTGCTTGAGCCAGTTCATGGATTGTCCAAAGTCTTCATATATGGATATTGCACTCAAGCTGGTTAGATATCTCAAGTCAGCACCAGGTTTGGGTATATTGATGTCGTCCACAGGAAGCAACAGTCTAAAAGTATTTTGTGATACAGACTGGGGTTCATGTATCAATAGCAGAAGGTCCATTACTAGATATTTAGTTAAGTTTGGAGATTCACCTATTTCTTGGAAGTCTAAAAAACAATCCACAGTATCTAGAAGTTCAGCAGAAGCTGAGTACAGAGCTATGGCTTCAACAGTAGCTGAAGTAGTGTGGTTGGTTGGCATGTTTCAGGAACTTGGTGTCAATATTTCACTGCCAGTATCTTTGTAATCAGATAGTACCTCAGCCCTTCAAATTGCAGCCAATCCTGTTTTTCATGAAAGGACAAAGCATATCAATATTAATCGTTATTTTATAAGGGAACAAATTCAAGCTGGACTGATTATAACAAAATATTTGTCTACCTAAAAGCAGCTTGCTGATGTTTTTACTAAGGCACTTAGGAAAGGTCCTCATAGTCATATTATGTCCAAACTAGGAATGAAGAATATCTTCATAGCTCCTAGTTTGAAGGAGGGTGTAAAGGAATTAAACAATGTATAAATGTAGCCTTAATCATGATTAGTTAAAACTGTAATTATACACTGCTTAGTTAGTTGTGCAGATAGCTGAGTTAGTTAGTCATGTTAGCTTCTAGAATCAAGTACAATTAGTTACAAGTTTGTTAGAGTTGAGTCGGTTAGAAATATTATATATAAGTGGTCCCATTGTATAGAATGAATCAATCAAGGGAAGTAGTACACATTCTTTTCTCATGAATATTTTCCAGTGTTCTTAGCCACATATCAGTGTTCTTACCTTCTATGCAATTCGATCAACAATTCACTAAATTTCACAAGTCATAACCCTTTGAAAAAGTCAGAATTGATAGAAAAAGTCACAACTCATTGAAAATGCCACAACCCTTAGAAAAAGTTGTAACCCTTCGAAAAAGTCATAACCCGTCGAAAAAGTCACAACTCTTTCGAAAAATCACAACCCTTCAGAAAACCCACAACTTTTCAATGTGAACAAATGTTTGCTTTTGATATAATATATAAATAAATAAATATAAATGTAAAATATAGAAAATATACTAAATTAAGTGTTTTTAGTTGGGGTATTATAATAATTTAACATTTAAGTTAGGAAATTCTAGTTTTTAAAGTAATATAAATATAAATGATGATAACTTTTTAACTTGAACATTTTACCCAACTTGTTTACTATGATAAGACATTATTCTATCTTATTTTAAAATCACAAAACATAAGTCTTTCCTATTTTCTTTAATTATGCCGTCCCTAGTCACTCTAAAATATTTAAATTGAAATGAATTAGGTGTAACTATATGACATAAAGTAAAACATGGGGAGAAATAGATTAAGTAAATTGGACCAACTTTTGAACAAATGCATTCGGAACAATTTTACTTAAGAAATTCATCACAAACATATGATCTTATCTATTACAGCAATCAACTAATTAAGCATGAATTAAGTACACTCTTTCTAAAAGAAGATTATATAATTAATATATAACAACATGCATATATACTTAATTGTCGTTTTAATTAATTACTTTAATTAGCCATGAAGGGCATCAAGGGTGTTGATCAAAGCCAAAGCATTTGCTTGTCATATGTGCAACTTCAACAATCTTTCCCCTCACAACTGTCTTAAGTTTTCCGTTCATCGCTTTTCCTGCGAACCCTTCCGTGCAGGTGTCTTCGTTGGTTAAGGCAGCACTTACCCATGTTTGAATATCACTCATTTTCATGTCAAAATCTCTTCCCCTTAATTGCTTCATTTCTCCTAAAGATTTTCTGAGTTCACTTACTGTGTCACTTAATTCCTCCACACAGTCTTGCATGGCGCCTACCTCTCTAGGCGTCATGCCTTGACTGTGTGCCACCTTGATCATCATGGCGGATGTTGATTGGGCTGTTTCGATGCTAACGGAGAGGGATTCATTTGCTAGAAGTTGTGGAGAAACTCCAATAACACTTGAACGGCTTGATAATGAACTGAAACATAGGTTAGGATAAGTTGTTGACTTACATGATGTTCGTATAAACTCTCTATTTGTTTCTCCCGAATCTGGCCTTGCTGCAGTAGTGAAGGCCAATAAAATAAGAAAGACAGTGAGAAAGTTGTAATGGTTATAATTACAACAACCTTCCATTTCTCTATTTCTCTAAGCTTTTTGTTTGTTTTGCTTCTCAATAACTAAAGCTAGTTGAGTGTGATGAAAATCGGAATGAAGGGTTCTGCATTTATAGCAAAAACTCTCAAAGTGGGGGTGGGGATGAGCTTGTACTGTTCCATTTAATAGTATACAAAACAAGTTCCATTTCTATATCGTAGTTAAAGCAATGTTGACAAATGGAGTAAAAATAAATAAATTTGCACACATTAGAAAGGCATAATCAATTGTATATTACTCTAATTTCAGGAAGAGAGTTATAAGAATCTCAGTTTTTCCTTGGGCTAGAGAAAACATTATGGTTAAATCCGGATTATAATCAATGATTTAAATTTAGATCATTGGGAACTTGTGTAACTATCCAATGGTAAATACCGGCATGGGGATGTGTTTGGTACGAAGGAAAATGTTCTTTAACCAAGTTTACTAGAAAATGAGTATTTGAATTGATTTATAATTTTGACACTTTTGAGGTCTTTTTTTATTTCTTATAATGTTTGGAAAAGATAAAAAAAAAAAAAAAAGCTTTTATATTCTTATTTTAGACCCAAAATATTCAATATACGAGTTTTATCTTTTAGCTTAAAAGTCAATCCAAACTCCATGTGCTAGAAGTTGTGGAGAAACTCCAATTTTCACCACTCCGATTTTAAGCCAAGGTTTCAAATTTACTAATTAATTAGTTATAATGAACAAAGTTGATTGGATGTTCTTGTAGAATTCTCAAGAAAAGAATAAGATAAATCACTCCTTGTATTGATACGTTAAATTATCGAGTACATGCTTCCTGTCGAGTATATACAGTCTGTTCTAGAGTATGTTTCACGGCAATCGGCATAATCCATTAGGCTTATTCATATTTTATCCATGAATATCCATATTTCTACGGATTAAAATTCAAATTTTACCTACTTAAAATATCACTAAAATATAAGCGATTTGAACATGTTATCAAACATGGACTCGTTTGGCTAGCATTAGTTAAAACTAATCCACGTGATGTTTAGGCCTTTCCTAAATAACATGTTTAATCATGTTTGTTCCAATACGTGGTAGGGTTTTAAGAACATTAATTCATGGTATAGGTCCACTAATTAATTCTTATGAATCATGATGTTGTTAGTAGTCAGAAAAGTTCAACCGAATAAATTAGACAATTAATTAGCAGCCAATGCATATACGCGTTGCGTTAAAACGTTTTTGCCGACTAAATTTTTGTTTGATACTAAAATATTATGTACGTAATACAGTCGTGTATCTACTTGGATATGATTTGATGGTATTAATAAGATTTAAACTTTAATAAAGATGGGTCCTAGATAATACATGTATTAATTACTTTTATAGCACGACGTATTTCTAATGGAGACCATGAAATATCCAAAGGTCACTTTTTCTTATATATCTATGATATTTTCTTTTTGTCGTTTAAATAATTGGTTGTGCAAAATATCTAAACACTAAAGCGTATTCGAAACAAAATATCATAAGTGTACGTATTTGAAATAAAATATCTAAACTCTAAAGTGATCTGTATCAACTAAAGTACACTCACGGATCTATTATTGATATAATATTGCCAATAATGAAGAAATATATATAGCTTACATTATCATACATACAAAAAAATAAAAAATAAAAATGAGACCATTGACATAAATACAAACTAAATAAATTTACTAAAACACTTCATTAATTCCTCTTAGAAGATTGCCATAAATTAACTTTTTTCGAGCTTTAATTATACACTCTTGTTGAAACTCTATACGGAAAGGATATAGCTTTATTTTTTCCTCTTTTAGAAATTAATAATTTTTTCATGATTTTTTTTAAAAATTTCACTGTTCATATAAAGGCAAAAATTGAACAGGACAGAGGTAGAAAATAAAAATTTTAAAATGTTTTTTAGAAATTTAAAGAGATTTTAATTTTTTAGTCTAAGAGAATTTTGATAATGGACAAAAAGAATTAGCTTGTCAAGTATAAATATAGAGGACCCACCGTTAAATCTAACTGTACTTTTTATTTTTATGGTTAGTTTTAGGGGTAAGAACTAAAATGATAATCTTTTTGTATACATCAAGGACTATTTTGATAAGCTGATATATATGAAGGATCAAAATCATTCAAACCCTATACATTAAGGACCATTTTGGTCATTTTCTCATTTATTATTTCTCAAAGTGTTTGTCAATTCAATAATAGATAACTATTGTTGGGATGAGTATAAAGATATTTCAATTAAGACCCTTTGCCCCATTTTCATTAAAACATATATTTTGGACTCAATCAAGTGGCAGTACATGCTTCATGTGTTGGACAAGAATTACATCTTTTGTTATACCAAGTGCATATCACTTTTATTAGACTCATTTTCTTAAGGCTTTCCCACTCTGGTTTAATACGTTTTCAAAATTTCATGAACTAAGTATAATTTACTACAAATTCGATAGTGATCTAATGACTTTAGATGAAATTGTTTGCTAAGTTAGTCTGGCTTGCTTTAAAAGGAATTTAAAATATATCTCCTCTTCAATAATGCCTCAAGTAGGGGTGGGGGTACATATCGAATATTGAATATCAAACAAAAGTTAGTTTGATTTGGTTTTTTGATTTTGTTTCTAATTAGTTCGTTTTGCATTCGATCATCATTTCATATAACACGTATAATTAGGATCACACAATTGTGGTGCTTAGTTTAACCAAAAAAAATTGCAATGCAATATACATGCATAAAATTCCACTTGCGGTAACCTTTTTTATTATATTTGATTTGACCTTGACTTTTCTTTCCTTGCACAGTTGCACGTCATTTGTAACTAGAGCCGTCAATATGGGCTAGGCCCGTTGAGCCGGCCTAATCTAACCCATGATTTGATAGGGCTGGGCTACGATTTTTGAACCCCATTTAAGAAAATGGTTTTTTAGCCCGACCTGAATAAGCTTGTCGATTTGTGGTGCTTGAGAAATATGGATAGGGCCGGCCCGTGGGTCAAATAAAAATATAATAGAGTATTAAAAAGGCAAAATGGTCTGGTGGACTCTTGTACTTGTATCTGTTTGTATTGTGAACCCTTCTACTTACC